AATAAATAAATAACAAAACAAATCAAGTAAAAATCTAGATGATGGTTTTGTTTTTGTTTTTGTTTTTTTAAGACGACGCATTTACGGACAATTCTTACTTTCCACAGGTGAGGAGCCTGTGCTATGCATCACCCACCTCCAATGATAGCCGAGTTTCTGTTGACTCCATTTCTTATAGCTTGGCCTTGTCCTGGATTATATGGGAAATCAGCACTGGCTGCAGAGGAAGAAATGGAAAAGTCAAGTGTAAGAGTCAAGGATACTAGTAATCCCAAATAACCTGATGTGGACATTTTTTCATACAACTCCTCAGCACTTCCTGTTTCCCTAGAGGAGAGTTCTGTTTCTCACAGGCCCATCTTGTCATCGTTTCCACACGTCTCAGCGCCTCCACCCGTTTCGGCTCTTCTGTCTGACATGAGACCCAGAGAAGCACGATCAGTCTTTTGGAGGAATATGAGAGAATCTTAGAGCTACCTGAGCCGTCCTGCTTCCGTTCCACTGACACACAAGCTGATGGATTAGAATGTTTTTTTTCTCACCTTTGGCTGAAATCTGCCTCAGCTACTATTTTCTATCTACATTGGCTATTTCTGTAGAGCCTTTTATACCTTTAGTTTAAAAAGGAATCATGTCTTTAAGTGAACATTTTGCATGACTGTAATAAAACATAGGGCATGTCAGGAATGTGTAAGCGGGTAACGTTTCATAACAGTTGAGAATAATATACGCTGCCTAATAAAGTTTCCATTTCTTTCCCTGTTATAAAAAAAAATCAGAACCGGTTATATTACAGTTAGGTGTTTCTCTAGGATAAATTTCAAGTACGCAAAAGACAAACGGATCCTGAAGTCTTTCTAGAGGTCGGCAGAGTATCTGTTACCATCCATACGAGCTAATGTAACCTCAAAACCAATTTCATATTCGTTGGGCCTCTGTTTTAGACGTTCAGGTTTAAGGCAAATACTCCAACGGAAGTAGCTTCCTCCTTCAGCAGATCACCTTAGTCTAGAGCCATGGTTACTGGATGGCATCAGTTAGGTATTTAAAAAATGTTTGAACGAGTTATTTTGCATAATTAAATGTGTGCACATGGAGGAAAGAGGTCTGTGTTAGGGTTCAAGGAGGATCTCACTATGGACTCGGGTTTCGTAAGGCTCCTCCTTCAGCTCTCTGCTCTGAAGGATCCCCAGGATAATGATGAAAAGTAGGCAGAGCCCTTCTTTTCCTTTTCCCCAGGAAATAGGGCCACCAGAGAGATTTCAGATCCTACCAGCAAATGCTACTTCAGCTTTTCTCTGACTGAAGACCAGAAAAATGATCTGTTCCTGGATCGATCATATTCCAAATCAGCTCGGCCACCAGTGCCACTCAAGCCTGTCGATTTAATTAAAATGCAGACGCTAAGAAAGACACAAATGAAAGAACTTAACTCTGAGTCCTGGGGACTTTTCTTTCTTTTAAAAAAATATTTTTTAAAAATGTTTATTTACTTTTGAGAGAAAGAGAGAGACAGAGGCATGAGCAGGGGAGGGGCACAGAGAGAGAGACACAGAATCCGAAGCAGGTTCCAGGTTCTGAGCTGTCAGCACAGAGCCCGACGCGGGGCTCGAACTCACGAAGTCGGACGCTTAACTGACTGAGCCACCCAGACACCCCTATTGTGTACTTATTTTAACTGGTCCAATCCCATGTCTAGGGAGAGAGGGAAAGGCAGAGCCAACATGAAGTATACTGTAGTCAGTGACTTTCCCCATGCCCTTTAGGACTTTCTGGTGTGGGCAGCATGGACGGATATTCAAAATTCCAAGTGTCGGCCCAAGGATGCAATGACCTTGCATTTGTAGGCTCATCACCCGATGTTAAGGGTGATCAGAAAATCATCCCGTGTGAATAAAAATGGTTTCCAAATAATATTTCTGGAAACCTTGGGTTTCTTCTTTAAACCTGAGTGTTCCCTTCAGAGAAGGATTATTTGTGGATGTGACAAATGAATGTATTCAGCCATTCAACAGATCTTTCCAGAACGCCGACTATGTGTCAGGCACCATTCTAAGTGCTGGGGATCCACAGTGAACAATAAAAAAGATGAAAATTGTTACTGATGAGGAATTTCTGTGCCTCATTGAAGAGTTTGGTTTACACAGTCAAAACACTAATTTAAAGCACGGATGTGGTTTTAGTCACGACCCTATCTAGTTACAGTAAATTGCCTAAAGCTGCTTTGTAGTTGCCACGTTACAACTCATACACTCATAGGTCATGGTAAGATTTGGTTACTGACATAAACCACCCTTCCGAGACCGAGAGACTGCGAGTTTCTTTCCGAGGATGAAAGTTCATACTGTCACGACTCATCTTTGACCTAGTTTCCAGGCCTTCTGACAACGTTAATTACCCTTCTCTGGACACTATTTAGTCCATATCTTCCTAGAAAGCCATCAAGCTTGTTGAGTGGCCCAGATGGGATTGGAAACCAGGCAAGGTTAATTCCTAAGCCATTCATTCCCATCCTGCCTTTTGAGGGCTGAAGAGGCAGCCAGGTGGGGAAGTCCCAGCATCCAGACAGTTCCGCTTGGGCAGGGCCTGTGGCAGGAGGAGCCTGTTTAGGGGATGAGGGAGAGAAATCTGTTTTGTCTTAGAGGTACTGAGCCTGGGGTGCCTCTGGGACACCCAGATGGAGACGTCTACTGGGCATTTGGTATCTTATGAGTGGCTCGTATTTTTCATCTCCTTCTGAGAAACACAGCCATCTCCTCACCACTTTTAAGTAACATAAACCTTCAAAATATATGAAGTACGGAGACAAAAACAATGACAGTGGCAATTTTGTGATTATTCTATTATGTGAGAGTCGTGACTCTATGAAGCTGTTTGCTTCTCTGCTTCAGGTAATGTCGATGGGAGAACACATCACGCTTTCTCTCTGCTCCAAAACCGACTGTACGGCTTTGCATCCTTGGCCACAAAACTGCAGACAAACACAGATATTTAGAGAGGTGTGTACGCCCCTCTCTCTGGATCGCTTGAAGTTATTGACATAACCAGTAGTGGAAGGTGTGGGTGTGACCTGAGATGACCCAAGAAGAACAGGAACAGCTAGAAGAGAACATGGAAATTTATCCCAGGATCGCCTTTCGTACAAAATCCGAAATCCTTTGTAGGGGGAGGAAGGCCTCCTTTGAGCTGAATTTCTCTCCTGCTCCTTCTCTGCCGGGGCCACTTTTCCAACTTGACATTCTAGGCACACAGACTCCTGATGCTTCCTGGTCGACACGTTCTGGCTCATCCCTCCGCCCCCCTCACCTCTGCCCTGCCTTTCCTCTCTCTGTCCATCAAATCTTACCTGTTTCCTAAAACTATCCTTAGCCACCTGGGTTACGTATCTGGCCCTCTTGTCAAGGTCGATCGGTCTGAATTCTTGTCACTCCCTACACGGCAGCCAAGCTCTTAAAGGCATGCTCAGTTATGTTCCCAATGACAAACAGTGCTGACAGGCAGCTATGGCTAATGAGACGTTCGCTAAAATGAAATCAGCCCAGGGGTGCCTGGGTGGCTCAGTCAGTTAAGCATCCGACTTCGGCTCAGTGCATGATCTCGCGGTTCATGAGTTCAAGCCCCACGTCCTGTTCTGTGCTGACAGCTCAGAGCCTGGAGCCTGTAAATATAGAAAAGCTACTAATGGTTCCTGTGTCCACTGGTCTTTGGTTATTATCAGAAAACAGCCAGTGGGAAAAACCCTGAGGTACAACCGAAGTCCTCACGAAATTCAAGGGCACGGTTCTGTTTCTCGCATAAGCATCCCTGTTTTCATGGCTTCATTTATAACTTAAGTCTGGTTGTCCTAATGCACGTGAGTCCTTACTCCCTTGAGGCATATCCATTTTATCCTGGCCAAGCAGAGCAAGCGCTATTTTGACAGATATATTTGAAATGATTTCACTGTAACCGTCCTCCCCGCCCC